GACTTCAGAAGGTGGATCATGAGAAACTTTTGTGACCTAAAAGAACATGTTTTAAATCAATGCAAAGAAACTAAGAACCTTGAAAAAAGATATGAAAAAAGATTCGAGGAAATGATAACAAGACTGGATAACTTAGAGAGGAATATGAATGAATTAAAGGAGCTGAAAAACACAATACGAGAACTTCGTGAAGCATGCACAAGTCTCAATAGCCGAACTGACCAAGCAAAAGAAAGAATATCTGAAGTCAAAGATCAACTCAATGAAATAAAATGAGAAACCAAGATCAGAGAAAAAAAGCACAAAAAGGAATGAACAAAGTCTCCATGAAATGTGGGACTATGTGAAAAGACCTAACCTACGTTTGATAGGTGTACCAGAAGGGGACGAAGAGAATGAATCCAAGCTGGAAAATACTCTTCAGGACATTATCCAGACAAATTTCCCCCACCAAGCAAGACAGGCCAACACTCAAATGCAGGAAATACAGAGAACACCACAAAGATATTCCACAAGAAGAGCAACCCCAAGGCACATAATCGTCAGATTCAACAAGGTTGAAATAAAGGAGAAAATACTAAGGGCAGCCAGAGAGAAAGGTCGGGTCACCCACAAACGGAAGCCCATCAGACTCACAGCAGATCTCTCGGCAGAAACACTACAAGCCAGAAGAGAGTGGGGGCCAATATTCAACATTCTTATAGAAAAGAACTTTCAACCCAGAATTTCATATCCAGCCAAACTGAGCTGCAGAAGTGAAGGAAGAATAAAATCCTTTGCGAACAAGCAAGTACTCAGAGATTTTGTCACCACCAGGCCTGCTTTACAATAGCTCCTGAAAGAGGCACTACACATAGAAAGGATCAACCAGTACCAGCCATTCCAAAATCACACTAAATGCTAAAGAGCATCAAAATAATGAAGAATCTACAACTAACGAGCAAAACAGCCACTTAGCATCAAAATGGCAGTATCAAATTCACACATAACAATACTAACCCTAAATATAAATGGACTAAATGCACCAATCAAAAGACACAGACTGGCAAATTGGATAAAAATCCAAAACCCATCAGTGTGCTGTATCCAGGAAACCCATCTCACATGCAAGGATACACAAAGGCTCAAAATAAAGGGATGGAGGAAGATTTACCAAGCAAATGGAGAGCAAAAAAAAAGCAGGAGTTGCAATTCTCATCTCTGATAAAATAGACTTTAAAGCAACAAAGATCAAAAGAGACAAAGAAGGCCATTACATAATGGTAAAAGGATCGATACAACAAGAAGAGCTAACGATCCTAAACATATATGGACCCAATATAGGAGCACCCAGATACATAAGGCAAGTTCTTAATGACTTACAAAGAGACTTAGACTCCCATACAATAATAGTGGGAGACTTTAACACTCCACTGTCAATATTAGACAGATCGACCAGACAGAAAATCAACAAGGATATCCAGGGCTTGAACTCAGACCTGGAGCAAGCAAACCTGATAGACATTTACAGAACTCTCCACCCCAAATCCACAGAATACACATTCTTCTCAGCACCACATCACACCTACTCTAAAATTGACCACATAATTGGAAATAAAGCACTGCTCAACAAATGCAAAACAACTGAAATCATAACAAACAACCTCTCAGACCATAGTGCAATCAAGTTAGAACTCAGAATACAGAAACCAACCCAGAACCACACAGCTTCATGGAAACTGAACAACTGGCTCTTGAATGTTGACTGGGTAAACAATGAAATGAAGACAGAAATAAAGAAGTTCTTCGAAACCAATGAGAACGAAGACACAACATGCCAGAACCTCTGGGACACATTTAAAGCAGTCTCTAGAGGAAAGTATATAGCAATAAGTGCCCATATGAGGAGAATGGAGAGATCCAAAATTGACACCCTATCGTCAAAATTGAAAGAGCTAGAGGAGCAAGATCAAAAAAACTCAAAACCCAGCAGAAGACAAGAAATAACTAAGATCAGAGCTGACCTGATGGAGATTGAGACACGAAAAACCCTTCAAAAAATCAATAAATCCAAGAGCTGGTTTTTTGAAAAGATCAACAAAATAGACAGACCACTATCCAGATTGATTAAAAAGAAAAGAGAGAACAACCAAATAGATGCAATAAAAAATGATAAAGGGGAAATCACCACAGATTCCACAGAAATTCAAACCATCATCAGAGAATATTATAAACAACTCTATGCACATAAACTAGTAAACCTGGAAGAAATGAATAAATTCCTGGACTCCTGTGTCCTCCCAAGCCTAAATCAGGAGGAAGCTGAAACTATGAATAGACCAATAACAAGGTCAGAAGTCGAGGCAGCAATTAAGAGCCTACCACACAAAAAAAGCCCAGGTCCAGACGGATTCACAGCCGAATTCTACCAGACACACAAAGAGGAGCTGGTACCATTTCTTCTAAAACTATTTCAAACAATCCAAAAAGGGGGAAGCCTTCCCAAATCATTTTATGAGACCAACATCATTCTGATACCAAAACCCGGCAGAGACCCAACAAGAAAACTTCAGGCCAATATCCATGATGAACATAGATGCAAAAATCTTCAATAAAATATTGGCAAGCCGATCGCAACAGCACATCAAAAAACTTATACATCATGATCAAGTAGGATTCATCCCAGGGATGCAAGGCTGGTTCAACATACGCAAGTCTATCAACGTAATTCACCACATAAACAGAACCAAAAACAAAAACCACATGATTATCTCAATTGATGCAGAGAAGGCATTTGACAAAATTCAACAGCCCTTTATGCTAAAAACCCTCAATAAACTCGGTATCGATGGAACGTATCTCAAAGTAATAAAAGCTATTTATGACAAACCAACAGCCAATATCATACTGAATGGCCAAAAACTGGAAGCATTCCCTTTGAAATCTGGCACTAGACAAGGATGCCCTCTTTCACCACTCCTATTCAATATAGTACTGGAAGTTCTAGCCAGAGCAATCAGGCAAGAAAAAGAAATAAAGGGTATTCAATAGGAAAGGTGGAAGCCAAATTGTCTCTATTTGCAGACGACATGATAGTATACCTAGAAGACCCCATCGCCTCAGCCCAAAAACTCCTGAAACTGATAAACAACTTCAGCAAAGTCTCAGGATATAAAATCAATGTGCAAAAATCACAAGCATTCGTCTACACCAATAACAGACTTAAAGAAAGCCAAATCAAGAACGAACTGCCATTCACAATTGCTACAAAAAAGAATAAAATACCTTGGAATACAACTCACAAGGAACGTAAGGGACCTCTTCAAGGAGAACTACAAACCACTGCTCAACGAAATCAGAGAGGACACAAACAGATGGAGAAACATTCCATGTTCATGGTTAGGAAGAATTAATATCGTGAAATGGCTATACTGCCCAAAGTAATTTACAGAATCAACGCTATCCCCATCAAGCTACCATTGACTTTCTTCACAGAACTGGAAAAAAACCACCATGAACTTCATATGGAACCAAAAGAGAGCCCGCATAGCCAAGTCAATTCTAAGCAAAAAGAACACAGCGGGGGCATCACACTACCGGATTTCAAACTATACTACAAGGCTATAGTAATCAAAACAGCATGGTACTGGTACCAAAATAGAGATATAGACCAATGGAACAAAACAGAGACACCAGAGGCAACACAACATATCTACAACTATACAATCTTTGATAAACCTGACAAAAACCAGCAATGGGGAAAGGATTCCCTGTTTAACAAATGGTGTTGGGAAAACTGGCTAGCCATGTGCAGAAAGAAAGCAGAACTGGACCCCTTCCTGACACCTTACACTAAAATTAACTCCAGATGGATTAAAGACTTAAACATAAGACCTGGCACCATAAAAATCCTAGAAGAAAATCTAGGAAAAACCATTAAGGACATAGGAGTAGGCAAGGACTTCATGAACAAAACACCAAAAGCATTGGCAGCAAAAGCCAGAATAGACAAATGGGACCTAATCAAACTCCACAGCTTCTGCACAGCAAAAGAAACAGTCACTAGAGTGAATCGCCAACCAACAGAATGGGAAAAAAATTTTTCAATTTATTCATCTGACAAAGGGCTGATATCCAGAATTTACAAAGAACTCAAACAGATTTACAGGAAAAAAACAAACAAGCCCATTCAAAAATGGGCAAAGGATATGAACAGACACTTTACTAAAGAAGACATACATGAGACCAACAAACATATAAAAAAAATGCTCATCATCACTGGTCATTAGAGAGATGCAAATCAAAACCACATTGAGATACCATCTCACACCAGTTAGAATGGCGATCATTAAAAAATCTGGAGACAACAGATGCTGGAGAGGATGTGGAGAAATAGGAACACTTTTACACTGTTGGTGGGAGTGTAAATTAGTTCAACCATTGTGGAAGACAGTGTGGGGATTCCTCAAGGCCTTAGAAATAGAAATTCCATTTGACCCAGCAATCCCATTACTGGGTATATATCCAAGGGACTATAAATCGTTCTTCTATAAGGACACATGCACACCAATGTTCACTGCAGCACTGTTTACAATAGCAAAGACCTGGAACCAACCCAAATGCCCATCGATGATAGACTGGATTGGGAAAATGTGGCACATATACACCATGGAATATTATGCAGCAATCAAAAATGATGAGTTCGTGTCCTTTGTAGGGACATGGTTGAATATGGAGAACATCATTCTCAGCAAACTGACACAAGAACAGAAAATGAAATACCGCATGTTCTCACTCATAGGTGGGTGAGGAAAAATGAGAACACATGGACACAAGGAAGGAAGTACTACACACTGGGGCCTATTGGGGGGAATAGGGGGAGGGACAGTGGGGGGAGAGCTGGGGAGGGATAGCCTGGGGAGAAATGCCAAATGTGGGTGAAGGGGAAGAAGGCAGCAGAATACACTGCCATGTCTGTACCTATGCAACTATCTTGCACATTCTGCACATGTACCCCAAAACCTAAAATAAAATAAAATAAAAAACTTTATACCTAAAGATCGTAGTTTTAAAAAAGCATCTGTACCATCCACAGTTATTTTGACTATTCTTTTCTAAATAAGAATACACTCTGCACTGAAGATCAGAACATACACATGTGAGCCCTTGGACATTAACCGTCAGCCTCTACACAACATCAGCTGGTACTAGTCTCAAATGATTCATGAGAAATGAAAATGGAAATGTAAAGGTTAAATTTTGAATCTCATTCATGTGCCCAGAGTCTTCAAAGAATGCTCACGTTACCTGACAGCTCAGGAGAAGTGACGTGGATATGTGTGTGCATAACCATGGCTCCCTTCCAGACACATGGAATCTTCTTTAAAAAGTAAAGATATTTCAGGTATCAAACATATAATACACTGCTATCTAAAGTTAAAGGCAAAATTTCCACACGATTTTCTCTTCTATGACCTTATTCCATGTTTTCCAGTGAATTCACATGGCTCATGTGTCAAAGCTCCCAGGCACTCACTTGGTGATGGTTTACATATGTGTGGGGTTGATCACGTTGCAAATGCCTATGAGCATCATCTTTTTCTAGGATGGTTTCACTTTGACTTCACTTTCATTTCATATGCGTTCACTGTCCATGGTGTAGATGATAGTTTAAGAGGGGGTGGGGGAAGCAGCAACTTGGTAATCATTCCACAGCTGACTTCACGTGTTCAGTCATCCTTTTTCTCCAGTAAAATTTTGTGCAACTCATCTGCATCCTCGCTGGTTTTTACCCAAATCAACGTGATAACTGGGATGGTGGCATTCTTCTCATCAGTTGGTGGATTTGGAACACAGATGATAAGAACATTATTTTTCCCTGTTTGGGTACATGGCATATTGGGCGGAATCAGAACATTCAACAATATGTTGCCTAAATGGGTGTCTGCCCGCACCAAAAGCTGTGTCTTCTGATTCACTGTAGGTTTTAAATGCAGGGTACCTATGCCTTTCTCTTTGAACTCATTGTCTTTCTTGTAAAATAGTTTACACTTTTGGAAGTAAAAAGCATCGTCTTCTTTTACTTCAGTAACTACTACTTTGGGTGGCTCATCACTCTCTTTGTCATCTCCACCTTTGCATTCAGTACTGTCACCTTCTATTTGGCCCTCCAATGGTTTAGCAGGAAATGGTGAAGAGACTGGTTTACTCTGGGTAATATCTTTGCCAAATAAACTGGAATTTCCAGGGGAAAATGAAAATCCAGTCAGGGGGTCAGAGCTTAATTAGCCCACAACAGAGCTATCAACTTTCTTGCCGAAGTTCAATGAGGCACTTGTTGCTCCTAGTGATAGGTCTGTTTGCTTTTCAGTTGCAACCTCCACCTTCTTTCCAGGTGTATCTTCAGTTTTGTTGCCATGAAACAAAAACGTTGACTCTTGCTGTAATTTTGTTGAGCCAAAAAGGGAAAGAGACTGTTTCAACTGCCATTTATATTTAAATGCCGTTTAGATTCACTTTCAGAATTCCTGCCACCGTCCCCGTGCTGCTGTTCAATGTTTGCTAGATATTTCTCATAGTCTTTAAAGATAGGCGTCAGATCACAGAGTAGGTTTGTATTCATGTGCTTCACTATCCAATCCCGGACGGAGCAGTTCAAGGCAGCCAACTGCTTGTGATAGGCATTCCTGACACAAGTTTTACTGGAAGCAAGGCCAGAGGAGGAGGGCTGCTGACTGTCCCCATTCGTTTTGGGATTTGAAACTTTTTTCTCAACCAAGGCAGTAGGGCCATTTGCAGCAAGAGAACCAAAGGCTACCTTGGGCTCTGCTGCTGCCCTTGCACTGGTGAAGGGAAGGGCACTGGTTACGTTGTTTCCTTTTGAAAGTCCTTCTAAAGGCTTCCCTCCAGCACTGCTACCAAATCCAGGAAACCATCCTCCACCAGAAGGTACAACCAAACCTTTAAAACCTTTAAAGTTTCCTCCACTGTCAGACTCAAACCCCACATTTCTGCGCTTTGGTTTCTTTATTGCTCTGTTCTTCAAGACTTCCTCACTGGCCAGTGAGAATGTTCCCACCTCTTCAGCTTCATCCTCTTGATCCCAATTCTTATCTGTCAGTTCCTTCTCGGCAATTATTTTGGCCATGTTTCCAAACCTGCCCGGCGGCAGCCGCAGCACTAGCTGGTCTTGAGCACGGCGAAACACAAGGTGCGGCGACACTGGATTTTGAAGTGGCTGGTGGTGTCCGGGCTGTGCGTGCTCCGCCACTTCGGGTGCTGCACTGTGACTCTCAGAGGACTTGGTGCTCCGCAAGCCCTGAGACTCAAACACCATGTCCCTGGGGCGGGGGGCACCTCATGCTGTGTTCAGCAAGGAGGTGACAGCACCAGCTCAGCCCGAGACCGCTGGAGGAATGCCGCAGAACACGCTCCGGTCGGCCGTTTTGTAACTCCAAAGAAGAGAGGTTTAATTGGCTCATGGTTCTGCAGGCTGTACAGGAAGCATTTACAGCAGAGCTGGCCATCTGCTCAGCTTCTGGGGAGGTCTCAGGAAACTTAAAAACATGGTAGAAGGAAAATGGAGAGCCAGTACTTTTCACATGGCAGAGCAAGAGGAAGAGAGGAAGCGGGGAGGTGCTACAAACTTTCAAACAACCAGATCTCATGAATACTCTATCACAAGAACAGCATTACCGGGATGGTGCTACACCACTAGAAACCACCCCAATGTTCCAGTCACCTCCCACCAGGCCTCATCTCCAACATTGGGGATTATAATTCAACATGAGATTTGGGTGGGAACACAAATGTGAACCATGTCATTCTGCCCCTGGCCCCTCTAAAATGTCATGTCCTTCTCACATTTCAAAATATGATCATGCCTTCCCAACAGTCCCCCAAAGTCTTAACTCATTTCAGCATTGACTCAAAAGTCCACGGTCCAAAGTCTCACCTGAGACAAGGCAAGTTCCTTCTGCCTATGAGCCTGTAAAATAAAAAACAAGTTAGTTACTCCCAAGAAACAATGGGGGTACAGCCATTGGGTAAATACTCCCATTCCAAAAGGGAAAAATCAGCCAAAAACTGGGTGCTATAGTCTCCATGCAAATCCAAAACTTAGCAGTGCAGTCATTAAATCTTAAAGCTCCAAAATAATCTCCTTTGATTTCACGTCTTGCATCCAAGGCATACTGGTGCAAGGGCTGAGCTCCCAAGATCTTAGGCAGCTCCACCCCTGAGGCTTTGCTGGGTATAGCCCACACAGCTGCTTTAATGGGCTGGCATTGAGAGTCTGTAGCTTTTCCAGGCACTGGGGACTAGAAGACGATGGCCCTCTTCTCACAGCTCCACTATGCAGTGCCTTAGTTGGGACTCTGTGTGGGGACTCCAACCCCACATTTCCCCTCTGCACCAACCAGCAAAGGTTCTCCATGAGGGCTCAGCCTCTGCAGTAGGCTTCTGCCTGGACATCCAGGCTTTTCAATACATCCTCTGAAATCTAGGTGGAGCCTCCCAAGCCTCAACTCTTGTACTGTGCACACCTGAAGGCTTAACACCATGTGTAAGCTCCCAAGGCTTATGGCTTGCACCCTCTGGAGCAGCAGTCCAAGCTGTTTCTGGGCTGCTTTTAGCCATGGTTGGAGCTGGAGCAGCTGGGATGGAGGTAGCAGTGTCCCAAGGCTGCATATGCCTGCCCCACGAAACTATTCGTCCCTCCTAGGTCTCTGGACCTGTGATGAGAAGGGCCACCACAAAGGACTCTGAAATTCCTTGGACTCTGAAATTCCCATTGTCTTGGCTATCAACATTTGCCTCTCTTTTAGTTATGCAAATTTCTGCAGCCTGCTTGAGTTCCTCCCCTGAAAATGGCTTTTTCTACCATGTGGCCAAGCTGCTGATTTTCCAAACTTTAATGCTCTGCTTCCCTTTTAAATATAAATTCCAGTTTTACATTATTTGTTTGCTCAAACATGTGAACTTAGATTGTTAGAAGCAGCCAGGTAACATCTTGAATGCTTTGCTGCTTAGAAATTTATTCTGCCAGATACCCTAAATCATCACAATCATCACTCTCAAGCTCAAAGTTCCAAAGATCCCTAGAGCAGGGGCACAATGCCTCCAAGTTCTTTGCAAAGCATAACAAAATTGACCATTGCTCCAATTATCAATAAGTTCCTCATCTCCATCTGAGTCCTCTTCAGCCTGGCCTTCACTGTCTGAATCATTATCAGCATTTTGGTCACAACAATTTAACAAGTCCCTAGGAATTTCCAAATTCTCCCTTATCCTTGTCTTCCGAGCCCTCCACATTTCTAACCTCTGCCCATTACCAGCAGTGGTTCCAAAGTTGCTTTCACATTTTCAGGAATCTTTATAGAAATGTCCCACTCCTAGGTACCAATTTTCTGTATTAGTTGGTTCTTACACTGCTATAAAGAAATACTGGATACTGGGTAATTTATTTAAAAAAAGAGGTTTAATTGGCTCATATTTCCACAGGCTGTATAGAAAGCATGATACTGGTCATCTGCTTGGCTTCTGCAGAGGCCTCAGGAAACTTAAAATAATGGTAGAAGGTGAAGGGGGAACCAGCACTTCTCACATGGCTGGAGCAGGAGAAAGAGAGAGAAAGGTGAGGGCTACACGATTTTAAATAACCAGTTCTTGCGAGACCTCTATCACAAGAACAGCCCTAGGGGGGTGGTGCTAAACCATTCAAAACTACTCCCATGTTCCAATCACCTCCCACCAGGCCTCACCTCCAACACTGGGGATTACAATTCAACATGAAATTTGGGTGGGGGCATAGATACAAACCATATTAGGGAAACATTCCTTCTGTTTGAGAAAAGATGAAACAAGAGTAAAAGGGACTTTAGCTCTCTTGAAGCTTAGGTGCCAGCTCAGCCACACACCAAGAGCCTGCTTGGGGTCCCCAGTTTTAGGCTGTGATTCTGGGATGGCATTTCTGGACCTGCCCTGGGCCTGAGGGGAGCCCACTGCCAAGAAGGGAGAGTCCCAGGCCTGAAAGCATTCACCATAAACTGACTGAAGAACTCTTAGGCTTTCGATGCATTTAAGTGGAAGCCAGGGGCTACTCGCCACAGGCATGAGGTGGTGGTGGCCATGGGGAGAGAGTTCTCTGCTTATGGAAAGGGGAGGAAAGAGTGGGAGGGATTTTGTCCTGTGGTTTGAATGCCAACTCAGCTGCAGTAGAATAGAGAAACAGGTAGATTCCTAAAGTTTCTGACTCTAGGCCCTGGCTCCCAGACAGCATCTCTGGACTCACCAGTGGTACCAATGCAGTGGTTATTGTCGGCCTTGGGCAAGACTCAGTACCATGCTGGCTTCAGGTCTGACCCAACAGATTCAATGGTAGTGGTCACAGGGGTACTTGTATCACTCCCCCCACCAGCTCCAACCAGCTCAGTACAAAGAGAGATTCCATTTGTTTAGGAAAAAGTAAGGGAATAGAACAAGAGTCTCTGCCTGGTAATCCAGAGAATTCTTCAGAATTATATCCAAGACCACTAAGGTGGTACCTCTATGAGGCTACAAGAACCATAACATTATGGTGCTTCCTAATGTAAATATGGCTGCAGAGACCAAAATCTTAGATGAAAACCCTCAAGTCTCTTTGAATACCTGGAAAGCTTTCCCAAGAAAGATAGGTACAAACAAGCCCAGACTGTGAAGACTACGATAGATATTAACTCTTCAATGCCCACACACTAATGAACATCCAAAAGCATCAAGACCATCTAGGAAAACATGACCTCACCAAACAAACTAAATAAGGCACCAGGGACCAGTCCTGGAGAAATAACAATATGTGACTATTCATACAGATAATTCAAAATAGCTATGTTGAGGAAAGTCAAAGAAACTCAAGATAACATTGATAAGGAATTCAAAATCCTATCAGATAAATTTAACTAAGATATTAAAATAATTTAAAAAGATTCAAGCAGAAATTCTGGAGCTAAAACATGCAACTGGCATGCTGAAGAATGCATCAGAGTCTTTTAATAGCAGAATTGATCAAGCAGAAGAAACAATTAGTGAGCTTGGAGAAGGGCTATTTGAAAATACACAGTGAAAGGAGGCAAAATGAAAAAGAATAAAAACTGAAGCATGCCTACAAGATGTAGAAAATAGCCTCAAAAGGGCAAGCCTAGAAGTTATTGGCCTTAAAGAGGAGGTAAAGAGAGAGACAGAGGTAGAAAATTATCCAAAGGGATAATAACAGAGAACTTCCCAAATCTATTGAAAGAGATCAGTATTCAAGTACAAGAAGGTTACAGAACACCAAGCAGATTTAACCCAAAGAAGACTACCTCAAAACATTTAGTAAACAAACTCCCAAAGGTCAAGAATAAAGAAAGGATCCTAGGCTGGGCATGGTGGCTCACGCCTGCAATCCCAGCACTTTGGGAGACCAAGGCGGGTGGATCACAAGGTCAGGAGATCGAGACCATCGTGGCCAACATGGTGAAACCCCATCTCTACTAAAAAAAAAAAAAGAAATTAACCGGGTGTGGTGGCATGCACCTATAGTCCCAGCTACTCAAGAGGCTGAGGCAGGGGAATCGCTTGAACCCAGGTGGCAGAGGTTGCAGTGAGCCAAGATCACACCACTGCACTCCAGCCTGGATAACAGAGCAAGACTCAATCTCAAAAAAGAAAAAGAAAAAAGAAAGGATCTTAAAAGCAGCAAGAGGAAAATAAGCAAATAACATACCATGGAGCTTCAATATAGCTAGCAGCAGATTTTTCCAGTGGAAACCTTACAGGCCAGGAGAGAGTAACATCACGTATTTGAAGTGCTGAAGGACAAAAACATTTACCCTACAATAGTATATCTGGTGAAAATGTCCTTCAAAAATGAAGGAGAAATAGACTTCTGAGACAACAAAAGGCTGAAGGATTTCATCAACATGAGATAAGTACCATAAGAAATGCAAAAGGGAGTTCTTCAGTCTAAAAGACAAGGCTGTTAATGAGCAATAAACAATCATCTGAAGGTACAAAACTCACTGGTAAGAGTAAGTACATAGAAAAACACAGAATGGTATCACTCTGTAATTGAGGTGTGTAAACTACTCAGATCTTGAGTAGAAAAACTAAATGATGAACTGAAGAAAAATAATAGCTATAAAAAAATTCCAAGACATAAACAGAACAATAAGATATAAATAGAAACAATAAAAAGTTAAAAAGCAGGGAGACAAAATTAAAGTGTAGGGTTTTCATTAGTTTTCTCTTGTTTAGTGAGAATTGAAAATGACAAGGATTCCCCACTTTCAGCACTGTTATTCAACATAGTACTGAAAGTCCTAGCTAGGGCAATCAAATCAGTGGTGAGAACAACAAACAAGGTTTCCCCATGAAGTAGGGTGTCTTGTAACAGGTATGCCCCTTACTGTTACAAGACACCCTACTTCATGTCTGCCTGGTACTGAGTAAGGGGCATTCCTGTTACAGACCAAGGAGAACTGGAGAAAGAAAGAGAAAATCAGTTCATGGTTACATTGTGGATACCTATTTGAGTGTTCTCAACTTGGTTATTGTTAAAAAAACAGAGAGGAGGATATTACTAAACTGACTGATACTACATTGTCTTGTCACCTGGGGCCCAAAAGAGCTAGCAGAATCCACAAACTTTTCAATCTCCCTAAGGAAGATGATGTCCGCCAGTATGTTGTAAGAAAGCTCTTAAACAAAGAGGGTAAGAAACCTAGGACCAAAGCACCCAAGATTCAGCATCTTGTTATTCCATGTGTCCTATGGCACAAATGGCAGTGTATCGCTCTGAAGAAGCAGCGTACTAAGAAACGTAAGGAAGAGGATGCAAAATATGCTAAACGTTTGGCCAAGAGAATGAAGGAGGCTAAAGAGAAGTGCCAGGAGCAAACTGTGAAGAGAAATTGTGAAGAGACACAGACCTTCCTCTCTGCGAGCTTCTATGTCTAAGTCAGAATCCGGTCAGAAATAAGATTTTTTGAGTGACAAATAAGATCAGATTTTTAAAAATTGAAATTATATCAAATATCTTCTCTGATCATAATGAAATAAAATAGAAAGCAATAACAAAAGGAAATTTTAAAACTATACAAATATATGGAAACTAAACTATATGCTCCTAGACAACCAGTGGGTCAATGAAGAAATTAAGAAATTGAAAAAAAATCTTGAAATAAACCATAATGGAAACACGACATACCAAAACATATGGGATACAACAAAAAAGATACTAAGAGGGAAGTTTATAGCTGTAAGTCCCTACATTGAAAAAAACTTCAAACAAAAAATTTAATGATACATTTTAAAGAACTAGAAAAGTAAGAGCAAACCAAACTCATGGTTAGTAGAAGAAAAGAAATAATAAACACCAGAGCAGAAATAAATGAAATTGAATCAAAAAATACAAAAGATCAACAAAACAAAAAGTTGGTTTTCTGAAAAGATAAATAAAATTGACAAAACCTTTAGCCAGACTAAGAAAAACAAGAGAGAAGATCAAAATAAATAAAATCAGGGATGAAGAAGAAGACATTACAATCAATAGTATAGAAATTGAAAGGATAATTAGGGGCTACTATGAGCAACTATATGCCAACAAATTGGAAAACCTAGAAGAAATGGATAAATTTCTAAACACACAAAACCTACCAAGATTGAATCAGAGAGAATTCCAAATCTGAATAGACCAATAACAAGTAACGAGATCAAAACCATAATAAAAAGTCTCCCAGCAAAGCAAAGCCTGCAACCCAATGGTTTTACTGCTGAAGTTTACCATTTAAAGAAGAACTAAACCAATCCTACTCAAACTATTCTGAAAAACAGAGGAGGAGGGAATACTCCCAAACTCATTACGTCAGTATTGACCTGATACCAAAGTCAGGCACCAAGATACACTACAAAAAAAAAAAAAAAAAAAAAAAAAAAAAAAAAAAACACCAGCCAATATCTCTGATGAGCATTGATGCAAAAATCCTCAACAAAATACTAGGAAACCAAATTCAACAACATATTAAAGAGATAGTTCATCCTGACCAAGTGGGATTTATTCCAGGGATGCAAGAATGTTTCAATGTACACAAATCAATCTATGTGATACATCATATCAACAGAATGCAGTACAAAAACTATATGATTATTTCAATTAATACTGAAAGGGCATTTAATAAAATTCAGCATCCCTTCATAGTACAAACCTTCAAAAAACTGGATATAGAAGAAACATACTTCAACATAATAAAAGTCATATTTAATGGAACCACAGGTAGTATACTTAATGGAGAAAAAATGAAAGCCTTTCCTCTAAGATCTGTAAAATTACATGGATGTCTGTCTCCCTTCAGTACTGTTATTCAACATAGTACTGGAAGTCCTATCTAGGGCAATCAGAGAAGACAAAGAAATAAAGGCATCCAAACTGGAAAACAAGAGATCAAATTATCCTTGTTTACAGATATTATCTTATATTTGAAACGGCCTAAATATACCAGCAAAAAAAAAAACATTAGAACTGATAAAGAAATTCAGTAAAGTTGAAGGATACAAAATCAACATACAAAAATCAGTAGCATTTCTTTTTTTTTTTTTTAATTTTTTATTGGATTTTAGGTTTTGGGGTACATGAGCAGAGCATGCAAGACAGTTGCGTAGGTACACACATGGCAGTGTGCTTTGCTTTTCTTCTCCCCTTCACCCATATTTGGCATTTCTCCCCAGGCTATCCCTCCCCACCTCCCCCTCCCTCTGGCCCTCCCCTTTTCCCCCCAATAGACCCCAGAGTTTAGTACTCCCCTTTCTGTGTCCATGTGTTCTCATTTTTCATCACCCACCTATGAGTGAGAATATGCGGTGTTTCATTTTCTGTTCTTGTGTCAGTTTGCTGAGGATGATGTTCTCCAGATTCATCCATGTCCCTACAAACGACACAAACTCATCATTTCTGATTGCTGCATAATATTCCATGGTGTATATTTGCCACATTTTTCCAATCCAGTCTATTATCAATGGGCATTTGGGTTGATTCCAGGTCCTTGCTATTGTAAACAGTGCTGCAATGAACATTCGTGTACATGTGTCCTTATAGTAGAACGATTTATAGTCTTTTGGGTATATACCCAGTAATGGGATTGCTGGGTCAAATGGAATTTCTATTTCTAAGGCCTTGAGGAATCGCCACACTGTCTTCCACAATGGTTGAACTAATTTACACTCCCACCAACAGTGTAGAAGTGTTCCTTTTTCTCCACATCCTCTCCAGCATCTGTTGTCTCCAGATTTTTTTTTTTTAATTTTTTATTGGATTATAGGTTTTGGGGTACATGAGCAGAGCATGCCAGATTTTTTAATGATCGCCATTCTAACTGGCGTGAGATGGTATCTCAATGTGGTTTTGATTTGCATCTCTCTGATGACCAGTGAAAATTATATGATTGTTGGCCTCATATATGTCTTCTTTCGTAAAGTATCTGTTCATATCCTTTACCTACTTTTGAATGGGCTTGTTTGTTTTTTTCCTGTAAATCTTTTTGAGTTCTTTGTAAATTCTGGATATCAGCCCTTTGTCAGATGGGTAGACTGCGAAAATTTTTTCCCATTCTGTTGGTTGCCGATCCACTCTAGTGACTGTTTCTTTTGCCGTACAGAAGCTGTGGAGTTTCATTAGGTCCCATTTGTCTATTTTGGCTTTTGTTGCCAATGCTTTTGGTGTTTTGTTCATGAAGTCCTTGCCTACTCCTATGTCCTGGATAGTTTTGCCTAGATTTCCTTCTAGGGTTTTTATGGTGCCAGGTCTTATGTTTAAGTCTTTAATCCACCTGGAGTTAATTTTAGTGTAAGGTGTCAGGAAGGGGTCCAGTTTCTGCTTTCTGCACATGGCTAGCCAGTT